TGTGTCCAGCCCTAAATTTTTCATGTGTCTATCGACTGTACTTATGATGTTATAACATTACAATGTTATGAGGGCTCAAAAATGCTGGAAGCCCAACATTTCAAACCACCCTGAATGTATAGACTTTGCATATGATGGGGGGCCAAATCCACTTGAGTAATGGACACTTGAAAGAAACAAAAAAAAATTTTCATTCCATTTCCTGCTGATTGAGTAAATATTACAAGTTGTACTACATAAAGAATAATATCATTAGATGTCTAACCTGAATAGAACAAAATCCTGTAGTTTCCATATGGCACTCAAATTATAAGTGAGAAAATAACTTTGTTTAAGAATTGCATATTTCTTTATCCCCAAATCACAGATTCTGGTTCACTTTTATGGTATGGGACGCCAAGGAAAATGTCAAGCTTTTATCTTTAATAGTTTTTAAAGATATTTACATTGAAATATTACCATGGTCGAGCAGAAAACTTTATGACTCAGGCTGCTGCTGCTATGTAGTTGATTATTCTGCTTGCTGATAGATAGCAAGCCAAATATCGGTCAATATATCCTGTGTCCTTGCCTCCTATTGGTAGTTTAATACCACCATTAAAGGAAATATAGGCTTTATAGTTAGAGGCAGAGATGCTATCCACAGTCTGGAGAACGAGCTTTGCTGTTAAAACTCACACAGTGCTAAAGGGCTGCACTTACATGTTCCCCTGGCTGCTTGAGGCAGGAGCCTGCATGTACTCCATCCTTGCCAAGCTGAGTGGGTCTCAGGTGGTCCAGTTATCTCTGAGGACACAAACATGACAGATGTAAAGTGGCCCTGTCAACGCTGAAGCACAACACAGGCGACTGGGAAAAGAAAGGGTTAATAAACGTTAACCCAGACAGGCTTATTTCGTTTCCAAGCGTTCATTTAGAAACGGAGATACAGATATCTAAACAACGCTAAAGCTGCCCTAAGTACAGTTAGCACTGCTAGCCTGGCTGATGCTCTTGATACAGTGTGTTAGCACTGGAGGCTAAACTGCTAACTCTTCTGAGTGATTCTCAAAAGTTTTCGCGGAGAAACAAACACACAGAGTCGACTGAAAGTATTCAGTAACTACAGCTAAAGCGACCGAGTGTTGACAAAACTTACTGATCTTATTTTGATGAGAAATCAACAGCACACAGTAAACGAGGTAGCCCCACGTTTTACCCACAGAGGACCGAGAGAGGATCGATGGCGTCAGGCAGGACTCAAGGACCCCGGGACTGTCTTTGTTTGCCTGAATACATTTCCTCATAAAAATTTAAATCAAATAAAAATGCCACTTAAATACCAAATAGATAAGAAATTATTACTTGTTTTTCCAATTTAAATCTTGTATTAGATAATCTGAAACGCTGATGGTGGTATATATAATCAATCAATCAAATAAAAGGTATAGTAAAAGTATAAGATTATTACCAGAAGCGTTTTAGGCAATTAGTTAAAGATCATTTTAATGTATTGTTGTGAAGAGGAGTTTAACATTTAACTGACTGAATTAAAATTAGAAAATCTAATTTAGTAGGTAAACAGGCATGCATAGCATAGCGAAGCCATTTATATTTATAACAATACATCAAAGCTCAGTTGATAAACTTTAACTTTTGTGCCCTTTCTCTTTGTTTTTCTTTAGTAAATACGGTAAAAACAGAGTCATTTAAACTTTCCACCAAAACTCCTGCTAACATATTTTTTTGATTCATTCGTTTGCCATTTTATTGTACGTTAACAAATAGAGGGGCTAAACTGAGGACGTGTTAATCTCACATTTCCCTCCTGGTGCGACTGATACTATAGTTCTAAAAACAATAATTTTACAAGTTTTCTCAGTTTGTTTGTGTGTTTGTTTGTTTTTTAGTGGTGGTGGGGGAGGCCTGAGAAGGACTTCTGACACAAGCATTAATACAGGAACTCCCCTTTTGTCCTATAACATGACAATTCTACCTTGCCACAAACACACTGGGCCTAATGAAAGGTTATTTATCTGATTTAATTTTATAATGAAATGCTGCGTGTTAGCATGTATTTAAAATTATTGATTCACGGAGGTCTTCAGACTCACCTGTGGTATGACTGGTCCTTGGACGCCTTCGAGTTCTGTCGTAAATCTCCCGTGCGGTTTCTCTCTTGGTGTCTTGCTTAACCCCTGGTGAGATTTTAGGCATGGCTGATATATATTTGAGCAGTAGAATTTATAACATTTGGATGAAATAACATAATGCTGAAATAATTTAATTTTTGTAAACAGTCTGCAGTTTTCTTATTGGTTTCTCTACTGAATTTTAAGCCAGTGAATGCGACAACTTATTAAGTTGTAGCCACAACACAACTGTTCTTTTCTTTCAAGTGATTACATTAATTAACTAATTTATTTATTTATCTAAATGTATCTAAATTATTTATCTAAACGGCTGTAGATTACATTTCTTTGCATCGCCTAATCACCTTGTTTTCAGACGTAACCAGCTGCAGTTGAATAGGTTTTTATTTATTTTATTTTATTTTATTTTATTTTATTTTGTTTGTTTGTTTGTTTTTGGGGGGGGGGTCGGGTCCTTTATTTAAACGGTATCACTATGCGTTGTCTGTGGGTAAGTGTTGATATTTTAAATGCAATTATTTCCTACAATTTTGAAGGCGAACTTTACGAGCTGCACGTGAAAGCAGCACGGCCGTTTAGGAACGCAGCAGCGGGGCTTCGCAGCCAGTGTGGCAGCTGGGAATGTGAGGGTTTCAGCACAGGCTGCTATTTCAGGACTGGAAACAGTAGCAGGGCTGGCCGGGGAGGGACAGGCTCTGCCCACAACTTTACTCTAGCCAACACACTGGCTTAACCTCAAGTCCAAACGGAGGGGAGAAGCTGCTGTTTCCCGCCTGGGGTGTCCGTGTTCTCGGACCGCGGCAGATGGTCAGCGGACAGCCGTTGGTGGTGGCTCACTGCTGGGCTGAATGCTAGAGGGAACCAGCCGGTGCACCGCGCTTCTCCTTCTTTATCTCCCCTCGGTCGCTGATACGTCCCAGTGAAGTGTCACTCGTTGGTCCAGTACAACCTGAATGTTTCCCGGCGTGAGTAGCTCGGTTAAATGTGTATGTTTCGCCGCTAACCAAACCAAACACGATAACATCATCAACAACAAAAACAGCGACGATGGAGTGAAATCTGCGGCGGGGGGGCGAGCGACACACAACCTGCCGCGATTTCCTGCGCGTGAATAAATAAATGATAGAGGATACAATGACCCTGCTGTCTCTATTAGGTCGGATCATGCGTTATTTTCTGCTCAGACCGGAGACCTTGTTCTTGCTGTGCATCAGCCTGGCTCTGTGGAGTTACTTCTTCCACACGGACGAAGTGAAGACCATCGTCAAGTCCAGCCGAGATGCGGTCAAGATGGTCAAGGGGAAAGTGGCGGAGATGATGCAGAACGAGCGCTTCGGTGGGCTGGACGTCCTGGACGCGGAGTTCTCCAAGACCTGGGAGTTCAAGAGTAACAACGTGGCCGTGTACTCCATCCAAGGCCGGCGAGATCACATGGAGGACAGGTTCGAGGTGCTCACCGACATCGTCAACAAGAGTCACCCGTCAATCTTTGGGGTTTTTGATGGCCACGGAGGAGAGGTGAGTAGGGCACCCAGGGGGACATTAAAGTGATCTCCAGGGGGGCTAAAGTGTGGGTTTGAATGAGTTATGTCTGGTCCTTTTCTTAGACCTGCTTTTATTTCTTTATTAAAAGCACGAATGAGACTAAATAAAGCAGAGATCTTATTCTGTATTTCAACCGAAGCTGTCCTCGTTGTACTTGTAAATAAAGTATAAATATGAGGGATAAAAATCTACTTTCTATACACCTAAAATAACTTATAACGGATAAAGCGATGTAGTCCACCCCATAAATCATTTATTACAGTGTATTAAGTTACATAGAGTTAATGTGTAGTGATGAAGGGGATATTTTCCTTCCTCAGTTTGAACCCTGTGTATTTTTTTTGTCTCTGTGGTAATTTAATCAAACACAAACTAATTCAGGATTATGCAATTCGGGGGAAGGAGAAACTGAACTAATGAATGTCTTGAATGTGTTAACACGGAGACTCTTTAAGACAGGGACTCGAGGTCGAGTAATTAGGCAGGATTCACTTTGACGTCCCGTGTCATTGATGGGTGCAAGTTATGACTTTAATTAGGACAAACCAAGTGACACACACACACACACACACACACACACACACACACACACACACACACACACAGAGGCACAGCGACACTGGGGCTTCTGGGTTGTCTCGTTACAGCCCTGCAAACACACTCACCCTCCCTGTGAGAGAGTCTTCTTTTAGAACGCATGCTCTTTATTTCCAGCTTATTTCTCTCCAAAAACAATCTCTCTTGGGTTTGTTTGTCCAAAGCAGGGATGCATCCCCCATAGTCTAACACAATTATAGCTGGAAGGAGAAGGATAAACTCAGATTTTTTTCAGATTCAGATTCTATCCGGGGCCCCATACTGTGAGGAAAAACACAGATGACATCGATCACTAGTCCGCTGGTTACAACCGTTCTCCTTTGCTTTCTGCTTCCTTGGTGCTAATTAATGTCAGGGCATCGAGGCAACAGCCTGACAAAGCAGCTCACAATGAGACCCTTAAAAAGTGCTGTCAGTTAAAGGGACAAAGAGCATTTGACATGATGCCACAGTCAGGCGGGAACATGAAAACACTGATTTATTATGAAGTCGAAGCATGCCTCTGCTCGGGCATTGTTTTCTGAGGCTTCGACTGTGCCCTCAGCTGACAGTGCTGATGCAACAGAGCCACCAAATAGAAAGAAGAAGAAGAAGAAACATAAACTTCAATAGACTCTTCTCTTCTCTTCTCTTCTCTTCTCTTCTCTTCTCTTCTCTTCTCTTCTCTTCTCTTCTCTTCTCTTCTCTTCTCTTCTCTTCT